TCTTTGACATCTAATTATTATGATTCATTCATTGTACTGTAGTTAACCTTTGTCTTCCTACCATAGCCTTAGGAGTAGCCTCTGTAGGGCAGCGCCTGTGGCTTAAAGGAGTAAGGTGCCTGCCCCATATGTTGGAAGTGGTGGGTTCAAACCCAGACCCAGTCAAAAACTGCAAAAAAAAAAGAGTCGCCTCTGTCGCCATAGAACAGTAGTTCTATGTTGAAATAAAGGAATGTAGACAGAAAATTGTCAGCAGAATTTCAAGAGTCCTTTAGGCCTCTTTTCCCTCTGGCTCCTAAGATTGACATATATATAGATATTTATTTGCATTTTGCCAATATCGAAGTTTATATGGCAAGAATTTAAATTATGCCACTTTTGTAGGGAATGGTCATAGCCTTCAAAGTGATATGTGAAGGACTTTTAGTTCTGATGGACTGTCTTGGTTTCAAAGGGTGATCAGGCTTCTCTTCATGATTCCTCTGGCAAAAAGTTAGTTGATTCCATGTCGTTGCCACTTTCAACCTCTTGGTTTCTTTCTCTCCAAACTTCTTTTAGTTACTGGAATATATAATGCATTTCTCACTTCCTAATCTTTGTATATACTATATACCTTGTTCTCCTTGGCACATTTTAAATTATTTATTAGAATGTTTGTCAGTGAGACGGCAGTACGTTTTCACTGAGTTAATTCAGGATGTATAGATACACCCACACACTACTGAATTCATTTTGGCCATGCTGAAGTTTTCTTGCAAAATATTTTCAGCTGGAATCTTTTTGGTTTTGAGATTTTACATATCTGGAATTATTTTAATTTTTTTTCTTATGTGAAAATAAAATTAGCTAGATATGAAATTAAGCATGAGAATTCTTTTTCTGAAAGTTTGGAAGGTTGACCAGCCATCAGCTGATTCTTGTTTTCTCTGTGTGTTTAGCTCAGGGGTTCTCAAACTTTTTAAACAGGGGGCCAGTTCACTGTCCCTCTGACTGTTGGAGGGCCAGATTGCGGGCCCCAGGAGGAGTTGGCTGCTAAGCAGGACAGGCAGCGGTGGCAAAAACACCTGGTGGGCGGGGTAAATGTCCTAGGTGGGCCGCAGTTTGAGGATGCCTGGTTTAGTTCATCCCTTTTCATTCTAAAGGATTTAGAAATTTCATGGCCTTTGATATTGTTAGACTTCATTATACTGTGTCTGTCCATTTTGTGTGGCACTCCATGAAGTCTTTTTATAAATTTTTAAATTTATTTTTTTGAGACAGAGTCTCTGTCACCCTGGGTAGAGCGCTCACAGCAACCTCAAACTCCTGGGCTCAATTGGTCCTTTTGCTTCAGCCTCCCAAGTAGCCCTCCATGATGCCTGGCTAATTTTTCTATTTTTAATAGAGATAGGGTCTCTCTTGTGCTCAGGCTGGTCTCGAACTTGTGAGCTCAAGAGATCCACCTGGCTTGGCCTCTCAGAGTGCTGGGATTACAGGCTTGAGCCACCATATCTGGCCTCCACGAATTCTTGTTAATCTGAAATTTTACATCTTCCTTTAATAATGAGAAATCCTGATGTTATCTCTGCAGTACTTCCTCTGTTCCAGCCTCCGTCTCTCTTCTTTTATTTGCTTCTTCCGTTTGATGTCACAAGTGTTTCCCTAATTCCCAGGTTAGGGAATGTCACTGCAACATAAAATCTCCTCCATAAAATGCAGTAAGTAAACTGAGAACTTTAAAGATCTTTTACAAGTAGACCTTACAAGAAAGTGAGTAGACTTAGAAAATCATGTTCAGATAGGGCTGTTGTGATACAGACACCTCTGCAATTTTGAGGCTGCACATCGGCCAAGATAAAGGTTCCATTCAGAGTTTTAATTCAGCAGAAAGTTGTGAATTGCTGTGTATAATAGACCTTTAGTGATGCTTACAGATACTGGAACCACTAGAGGTAAATTAGTGAATGATGAGTTTGTTGTCCAAGAAAGAAAAAGTTCTTTAAAAAACCCCATAGCTATTGCATTGCTGTGTCATAGTTGAATTTTGTTTTGTTGAAAGTAATTTTTGTGCCATTGTTAAGAGTTTTTGTTCTGTTTTTTACTTTGGATGAAAGTGAAAGCATTATGCTTAAAAGAGTAGGATACATAAAGTAACTGGGCCACTTTTAGATTCTGGTTTTTCCTAATGTTTTAAAACATGATAATGAACAAGTCACATTTGTTACCAAGCGCCTTTGTAGCTTTCCCAACTCAACCTCTATGATTTCTTTTATGTCAGATATTGTAAGAAAAACTTTAGACAAATTAAATTGAACAGAATTTAATTAAGCAGAGAACAATGCAAGTCTTGAGCAGCCTCTGGAATCTGAGTAGCTTCAGAGTGACGCTGGGTTGAAAGAAAAGTGATGCTGCCACGTGGTTGAAAGAAGGGAAGTGACACAGTAGGATTGGTCACAGCTCACTGTTGATAGGCAGAAACTCTGTGATCAGTACAGGGGAAGGTTAATAATTTTACATGTTCAGTTAGGTTAGAGTTCATTATGAATGGATGCTAAACTTGAAATATATAAGGAGGCAGCTTTAGTCTAAACTTAACATGGGAAAACAGATATATTTGTGAGAGGCCATAAGTTGTTTTTCTAGACGAGCCCAAGCTTATTTTCCTATTCCTATGAGTATCTTTTGTGTGTAATTGGATCTTTTTGCACTTAAGGAAAATTTTTTTTTTTAAAATATAGGAGATATAAAATAAATTATCTTGTTGGGTATATAAGTGTACCTGAATAGATTAACCATTCAAATGATATGTGATGGTTGTAGCTTGGCTGACAGTCCAATTAGGGGGAAAAATGTCTTTAAGATGCGCTTTTGCTCTCATAAATAAAACCATCAATTTAAAGTACTCCAAACACCTTCAGCTTTTTTCTTTTATTAAATTTGGAAGTCATAGTTGTCAGTTATGAGATTTAACATTAACCAAGGTTGTTCCTTTGAGGCTTTAATTTTAGGTAAGTTTAAAATGCTGAACGTATCAGTGAAACACGTTTCTGTCTCTAAATTCAGAGCTAGGGAATAGGTACCATGTTTTTTGAATGGCCTTAATTAATTCTTTAACATTAATTAGAACAAAGAAAATTAAATGTATTGGCATTAATGCTATATGTGACGTATGAATTTAAGTTTTCCTTATTGTGCCAGCACAACGAACTGTTCAGGGGAAAGAATGTGCTAAAATTCAGAATAATAAATTATGTTACTTCAACAGTTGGAGAAGAGCAATTAATTGCAGAACTTTTTATTGCTGCCTGCTTACTCTGACCCTTCCCCCAATGGCCCCTCCATAAAATGAGTTCCTCAAGCTAGAATCCATGGAGTCAGTCATCTTTGCTTTAGAAACTACCAGCGTATCTGTCCATTGACCAATCTGTACTTCCAGTCTCCTGTTCCAAGTTGCCATCAATTCTTGCCCAGAGTATGGGAACATTTTTTTCCTACTCTCTGATTTTGTTCTTGACCCTTTCAGTCTGTTTTTTA